TGTGTGTGTGTGTGTGTGTGTGTGTGTGTGTGTGTGTGTGTGTGTGTGTGTGTGTGTGTGTGTGTGTGTGTGTGTGTGTGTGTGAACAGTTGTTACGCTACCTATCTTGACCTCTCAAACTGGTTGAAAGATATACCACCGAAGGTATGTGAGAACGTTCTTGTCTGTACCTGCATGTAAAAATAAGAGTCTTAAACCAGCAGTATGCTGATTTTATCTTTTTGCCCAAGGCTAAAACATTAATGAGAAGGACTAGCATTTTCATTTAACACACTACGCATTGACGATAGCGTCCCTGGAGTCATTTGACTTGATTTATTTATTTTGCTTTATTTTGGAGAACGCCTTAAAGTGCCCAAAGGCAAACTGTGTGCATTGCATTGTCACGCTAACACCGCCATTTGCATCATTTCAGTAAAACTTTATGGATATCAACATCAGTCTAAATGTTGATCCATGATTGAAATGGAGTATTTCACAGTATGTGTGTAGGCACCAGTCATTTGATCAAAATACAAGGTTCCAACAATGATATAAGTTCATATGAATTAATTTTCAGATGACTTGCATATTTACAGATGACTGTCCAACAACAAACTACAGAGATTACAAGACTACAGTATGAAATGGTGACATCATAGGCGCCATGGTCGATGGACTCAAAACCCCTATACATGAAACAGTCCCTCATCTGATATTGCAGTTTTCTTTTATGAATGTTCTAGATTGATGATTTGGCCACTCACAAAGTCTAAAGTCTCTCTCTCTGATAGTTTTCAGCCCAGTTGATCCTTTACTTGAATGTTAAGTGGTAACAAGTATTTAGTGGAAGGCCAACATCTGGAATTAATCTGGCGGAATTAATTTTCCATAAACTGCACAAAGACAGTCAGGAAAACTCAAAATTCATTTTGCCAGACTCTCTTCCCAAAATCAAAGAACTTATTTAAATTTTACCATGGAAAACACTGAAAAAAGCTAAACTAGTTATTCATTTATCTTTTTGAAACGTAGCCTCTTCTCACGGAATGCCTTTGAAGTGTGGATTACCTTTAAAATTATTGTGCTGATAAGACACACCTTTAACTCTCAAAAGTACATGCTGTACATGCTTGTGTTAAATAAGGACGCTAAATAGAAAGGGCCTGCACATCACAGAGTGTGTTGGCAGCACATTGTGAGGTAACATCATGTTTCCAAGCCCTATAGAGGGACGGACTTAAACGTGATGTGGGTGTGTCTTTACATTATTACATTATTAGATTACATACAGCCCATCGGTTTGTTCTTTTTTGAAAACCTGACTCAACACATCCCAACGCGTCTCTGCACTCATGGCGGAGTTGAGACTACTGCTTCTATTTTTACTGGCCTTAGTGAGTATTCAGTCTTAAACTACTATCACATTAACATGCTAGGGCATCCTTCTTCTTATTTAAAGCAACAAAACAGCACCATGAAGTGGTGCGGTCAGATATTATTTATTTTACTGCCTAACACAGATTATTATTTATATGCTACAATCAAAGTTGGCGGTTCACAGATAACACAGTGTAAGGAAAATAAGAAAGCCTTGCCCAGCGTTTTGTTGTGGACTGAGGGATTTAACTGTACTATTGTCATTACAGATGATGAGTTCTGAGGCCAAAGAGAAGAAGGTAAAGAAACTGAGGAGGAATCGGAGAGAGTGGATTCCTCCTGCTACAAAGCTGATGGAGAACATCGACTACACCCATTTGGAACACATTGCAAAGGTCTTCAGCTCATTGAAATCTTTATAGCATATACACATGTTATATGCACGTCATATTTTTAAGCAGTGGCTGAGTGGCTTCTATCACATCATTTGGTTATCTTCCGCTACTTTAGGATTGCAAGTCATGAACATTCCTTTAAAAAAGTCCAGTTGTACTCACAGTTGAACACTTGAAAACAACCACAAGTCATAGGTTTGCTGTCAGTGCAGATTTCCTATTAAAAACTAATTGTTAAAGGATTTGCAAATCCAATATGATCACAGTGATACATTTCAGGTGCAGACATTTGTAAAGTTCTGCATATACTCTTTCTTTTCAATAGTAAAATTAAAAGTTTAGGCATCATCTATGTCTGTGCAGTATCTGTTGTACCTGCAGTGCTTTGGCATAGTTTTTGTATTATTACAAAAACAATTCCAGTAGAGAGTGAAAAACAGTTCTTGAACACATACTTGCTCTTGCTAAAAAGTACAACAAGGAATATTTAAGAAGCACCCCAACCTGACATCACTGTCTGAGACTTAAGTTCAACTTCAACAGTAGAACAATTTTTTACATGTTTATCATCTATTTTACCAAGTCTTACTATGTAATTTACAGTAAATGCTCCCCCTGTTTTATTTCAGATACGCTCTGATAAAGACAAATTTGAGATAGTTCAATATTTCCTTTCTGGAGAAGGGGCAGATAAAAATCCATTAAGCCTCTTTGTGGTGGACCGAGAGACTGGTTTTGTACGTATCACTGATCTGCTGGATCGGGAAAGCTGCCCATCCTACAATGTAAGTTTGTTTTGATGTTTGTTTGTTCATTTTTTCTTTTCTGTTTTTTACTCTGCAAAGTTTTCTTTCACCATTTTCTCTATTATGTAACACCAAACAATATCATGGAATTCCATTCCTGGTCTCAGCTCCACTTCTGTGAGATACAGACCTCAGGGAACGTATCCACAGCAATCGCAGAAAAATAGAGTTAGCATTTTTGTATGGTTGAAGGAATGTACATTAGCTGCTAACATTAGCTACTAGCAGCTAAAATATATATTATGAATGTCAAACAGAAGTACAGTCATTGCATTTATTTCTGGCCTTTGTATTTCACCGAAACTATTAGAGTCAATCATTGCCATCCATTAGCTGGTGGCCAGGACTGCTGGTCATACTGCTGTTGGATGACAGGCAGCTCCAGCTGATTTGTCATTCTTACAATTGTAAGTCAGTCCCTTCTTCATGGCTTATCTTAAGCTTACACAATTTCTGATTGCTAATAGCTGGTGATAGCTCACTGATGCCAATTTGCAAACTTGCTTTGCAGCTTGTTTTATGAAGTAGGCCACAAAACCAACAGTTTCCAGTCCAGTCTTTTATCACAACAAGTCCACATAAATCCAATCTAAAATCAATCCTCCTTCTGATAAAATGTAATTATTTTTAAAAGCAAAACTACTCAGGCCAGGTTAAAAGTATTTTCCTTTAAAATGTCCTTTTCTCTCACCGGAGTGTTTAATTTCAACCATCTTCAACCTGCCACAACTGTGTCCAATAGCCTCCTTCCTTCCTGTTTTTCTCCCTAAACTCATTCTTACTCTCCCCTTTATAGAGAAGGGCCCTATCGCACCAGATTAATACCAGATTGCAAATTTTACTGAAGAAAAGAAATGACTTTTCTTCAGTAAAAGTTGAATTTTAAAGTTGAACTTGAAGGATCAATTTTAATCTTAGGCCGTAGAACTCCAGGTACGATCTGAAATTCCGAAGTCATTAATATAGTTTCTATATATAATTGTATTACATATTAAAAGTTACATTTTAAAACTATCTCAGTCTGTCATTCACAATTTACACAGCTATCAGGGATCGCTAGATACAGGAATGGGACCACGGCAGAGGATAACATCCCACTGATTATAACAGTCCAGGACCAAAATGACAATGCTCCTTCTTTTGAGCTGCATACTGGAAACATTAATGAGGCAAGCGAAAAAGGTAATGATGGATTTTAAACACAGTTTTCTATATGTGATGGGATACAAATTGCATTTTAGCTTTTATGGAGTTCTTGTGAGAAAATCCCTGAAATCTGTCCTCTTCTGAAGATATTTCTTCAGCCTAGGAGTAGTGAGATGATATTGCACGAGCAATAGAGAGAGGGGGAGTCATGACAGACAGGGGAAAAGAAGAACAGAAGAACTCTGGGGTAGAAGCTTAACATTTCACAGACGACCTTCGACTTGCTTAGTCACAGCCGTCCGCATCATATTTACATCTTAAAAACTGTTAAAATATGTCTGCGTTCTATAAGATCCAGTTGACATTCATTTTGCGAATCAGCCTCTAACCTTCTTTTTTGTTGCATATAAACACAGTCTTTATATATTATGTATGTGAAAGTTGTTTGTCAAATGATCACGTTGAGCTGTTGTGCTCCACTGCAGGAACCTTTGTCATGCAGCTTGAGGGTAAAGACAACGATCAAGCTGGAACAATTAATGCAGAGATCTCCTACAGCATCGTCAGTCAGAAGCCAGAAGGCACAGGTCACATGTTCCATTTAGATGAAAAGACTGGAAAACTGTATGTCAAAGAGCCCACGCTGGACAGAGAGGTGAGGCTAGCAGTCACTGCACGTACAGCAAGACACATATATGCTTCTGCATTTTTGCACGAATTTCTTTCTTAGCTTTCTTAATATATTTCTTAAATATATACATTTTGGTTCAGGCAATCTTTGTCAGGTACAATAAAACAATGTTCCTGGACTGAAAATGTAATTAAAATAAAATATTCTTAAGAGAGACAGTGTGCAGATGTCATAATTGGACCATACCTGCTAAACGCGCAAAGGTGATTTTCTCATCGTGGAAGGAAAACAGGACCGACTGGACCGACTCATCTTAGCTTAGTATGATTACAATTCTTCTGAAGTATTTGGATATAAGTCATGCGTTTTCACCTCCTTTTCACAGACTTATGACTTCTACAGCCTGGTTATAAAACTAACTGATATGGGAGGAGCAGCAAGTGGACTAACAGGAACTGGAACTGTAGAGATCAAGATCCTGGACATCAATGATAACATGCCTACTCTGGAAAAATCTGAGGTGATGAATATGGCCTTTACTTGTTCTTAAGGCATCCAAATTTATTCTTATATCATTAATAACTTTCAAAACAACTGTACATAGCTGTGTCTGTCTCATTATTTATGGATGGCTTGAGTTATGCACTTTACGTTAGTGGTATCAAGTGTGCTTTGGTGGCCCAAGCGGCAGGGAGTTTAGGAATATCCAGTAGCAGTAAAAGGCTGTTACTTCTGCACGCTACCTGTTCCCAGAGTTTTGAGAAGCAGTCGTAGATTCATTTCCATCTTCGTAGTATGAAAGTATCCATCTGCGTGTCAGACAAATTGTGGCAAAATGGTGTTTAAAAAATTCTTAAACTGTGTTGGCCCATTTTGGAAAGCTCTGGAGTTTGCTCCTTTGGACTGTCTATGTAATTTAGACATAGCTTATGGATTTGAAAAGTAATACAGGAAGAAAGTTACCCTGCATTCTTTCTAATTGCCATGGGGTAAGTCCCTTGGTAGCAAAAAACAGTTTCAGTTGTTGATTTATTACTTCAGAAAATATTTCTGTCACAGTCTGTCTGAGGCAGACTGCATGTATTGTGAAATGGACTCAAATGCAGACCAAAACAGAACGTGAAAAGTGACGTGGATAAACAAAAACAAGCCGTTTATTAAGGCCTGGGTGAAACTAAACAAAAACCTAAACTGGGTGAACTAAAACATGAAAAACCTTAAACATGGAAAACTGGCATGGATACCTGGAAACACAACGTGGACTAGCAGACAACCTAACAAGGAATGACTGAAAACAAACGGACTACGTACACACAGGAGGGTAATGAGGGAAGTGGGAACACATGGGGAAAAAAGCTGAAAGAAATGAACATAACGACATCACAAGGGGAGCGTAAAACTAAACACAATGAACACAGGAACACAGGACCGCTTCAAAATAAAACAGGAAACATAATGAAATACAGACATGAGAACATGAACTTGACAACAAAAGACATGAAACACATAAAGGACAAGGAAGACGTAACACAGGGGTTGAAAACACAAGGGAATCTAATAAACACATGAACTTAGATAACCCAATGAACTTAACCATCAAAATAAACTCAAACTCAAAACGCTGGGTCCAAAGACCCAGGATCGTGACAATTTCTCTCCTGAGCTCAAGTTCAATATAGTTTTAATGTTTGCGTTGGGTCTGTGTTTCCACAAGCCCCGCTAATTCTAGAGACTTATTCATCATGAAGAAAACAAGACAGTC